TCCCTTGCTCGTGTAACAGAAAGGGGAGTGAAGCCACTTTGGGCTGCTGGGTCCTTCTTGTCGCCCCACTTCTGAGTGAAGTGTTGGTCTGCCTGAGGGGTGAAGAGGAGCTGTGTTTTCCTCCTCAGCAGCATCGCTGGCTGCTTTGACCTCAGCAGTGAGAGCAATGAAGAAGACAGTCCATCCAAGCATTTTTTTCATGGATAGGCTGGCCTGGTCTAGGCACTGAGAAGGAAACCAGTCAAGCCCTGGCCAAAAATCCTGTCATTCATGAGGAATTTGCAAGAGTTGGTAATGCTATATATGTTGTTTCCTGCTGTTGTTTAAGAACTGAAACTGCTTGACTGGAGAGGAACATTGGAACATTCTTCTTGTAGGCAGTCTGAAATACTCTTAAGGAAGGAATACCACGTGCCATGAGTTGCAGAAGTGAGATTATCAGACTTCAGCAAAGCATCCAAACACCACCACTTCAGTAACCTTGGAACTGTTTTATACATTTTAAAGAAGTAAGTTTGCTGACAATTTTCTCTGTACCTTGCAATTTTACCATATAAGTAGTAATCCACTGCTAAACTAATTGGATTTCTATTTAAAAATAACATAATATTTGTGTGACGTTATGTGCAATCATGGATATGTTTAATGGGAATTGGTACACATACACCAGCGAGATTGCTATTTTTAAAGTATATAATTTGTATCGTGGCTTACACCCTGAAATCAGTACTGCAGATGCAGATAAATCTTGTCCGACTTCTCACAGATATCAATGTAGTCCATTCACATACGTCTGACTGCAGCACCAGTTCCTCCATTTTCTTTGCATGCAATTGGTTTTACATGAAACATTATAATGAGAATGTAAAATCTTGGGTGCAGCCAAGATGGCCTTACAAATAATTTCTTACTCTGAAGAATATTTTTAATACACAAGGAGCTGATGGGACACTGAATTCCAAAATAGCTCAAATTTTTTTTATATATATATGGAAATTATACCTTCAATTACAGTACTAGTCACAGAAACAGTGATTCTTTTTTTAGTGGATGAGCTGAAGTTGCCTTAAGAAAACACCCTATTGATTAAAAAAAAAAAGAGAAAAAAAGAAAAAACTAGTCAGTTTTCTTCAAATCTGTTATATTGTCTATAGATAGCAAGACCGCCAGAGCATCAAATGGTGAAGTACAAACAAATGAATGTCTCTAAGTTGGGAGTCTCTGCTATACAAATGATGGTTATGCATCTGATTTTCAAAACAATTTAAAATAATCAATTTTAATTTTTAGGGGGAATTCATAACCTGATCTTCCTTAAATTTGTTTCATGTAATCTGAAAAGATGCTCGTATTTATTGTTGTTCAGTGATGTATTTCTTTCTTTTAAAGGATTACAACAGGTTTAATTTAATCCATATTCTTGTATTGTTACTGACAACATATTTGTGACAAATGCTTCTTATGGCACTTGTGTCAGAAATCTCCATTAATACATATTAATATGTATATACGCCCCTAAAACAATAATAAAGAAACAATACTAAATAAGCAATAGACAAAGTCCAAGATTAAAAGTAACCTACATGTGAGTATAAAACTTTGCTTCTCAGTTATGTAGGTTGGAATAAAAAAGAAGGTTCTGAAAACTTTGGGACGCACTTTGCTTTTGCAGTCAATTCCGCTGTGTTCTTCAGCTATTTGTTCCACCTCCCATAGCTGTTGGTAAACAGCTAATGATAAGAACAGCTTGGTTTGTCATGGGATGAAAGATGGTTATTTTTTGGTAGCAGAGAGTTCTAAGCTAAAAAGATACTCATTGCTTCAGTAGGTGAAATTATTTGTAAGAATTCCAGTGATCCAGAAGCAGTAATTAAGCGCTCCACAGAGATGTTCAGTATTTCTGAGATGATCTTTTAATGTGGATTGTGTAAAATAGCGAAAGAAGAGGGATCTATAGATCAGTCACTGAAATGATGAAAATTTCCTGACAAGAACAGTCCATATCTTTTAAACAAGCAGGAAAGCCTATCATAGTTCCAAGACAGAATGCTGGAAAAAAGACCTTCCCTCCTTATAATAGATTGTATATCTTATATTGATATTAAATAGTTTCCTAGATGATAAGCAGCATTTGTCATGAAGGGGCTCTAGCAAAGTTCTAACTTCCAGGCCCATCAAGGGTGACAATGATGAAATAGTTTGTGCTTCTGGATTCTTTTTTTGTCTAAAATGAATCAATTCCTACTATTCGGTGCTTCTAATGCATAGGCTTAAGATTTGAAAACAACGCAACTGTCCAGTAAAAGCTCATACACAATAGCTTGTAAAAATAAATGCAATTAGCCTTGGGCAAAATTAGTATTTTCAAGCAGGCTTTAAGACAAAAGCAAACGGTCGATTTTTCTAACAATGTTTTCTACCTGTCTCAGAGCCCAGTTTTTCTCTTAGCTTCATGATTCCAAGTACCTGGGAAAACAGGTTTTGCTGACTTTTTAAAGTGAGAGGCAGAGAGAGAATATATAGGAAGACTGTACCGAATATACTGGAGCATCTGGCTAAATGAAATCAAGCTGCTTCCTTCTTTATCTAGGTAAGCATTTGTCAGTGCTTATGAAGCATTAATAGTATTGTTGCACTTGTTTCCTGAGGCAGTAAATAATCTGAAGAAACCAAAATTAGAGGCTAAGACTACCGCTTAAAGTAAACATCCTCATGATACTGTTTCTATATATGCTTAAAAAAACATCATTAATATAATCACGTAAGGAAAAGAAGGTAAATGTGACTGTACTTCAGTAACCAAATGTAATTTATTTCAGGTATTATTTTTTCAGGGAAGTTATTTCCTCTCTCGTTTTTAGTGGGAAGTTGCGGAAGTTATGCAGGGAGCTATGTATCTCCATAAACGCTTTCCCTTTCTTCGTATGAGAAAGGCTTTGAAGGAGAGTAAGGCAATCAAAAGCCTTTGCTAGGTTTAAGAGGAATTCTAAATGACGTGGACAAAACTGCGTTGATGAGCAAGGGGTTGGATCTAGGGAACGCCGCGTTCCCTCGCCTTCCTCGATTTACAGTCCTTGCTTATAAGCGACTTGGCTAAGTATCCCAGCTGGCTGTCTTAATTAAGCACAAAGCCTGCGCTGTAAAATGAACGCACGTGAAAAATAACGTAGCGGTTAGTAAGCGAGGAGGGGAAGCCGAGGCGCTGGAGCCAGCCCGTACTTCGCAACACCGCGGGCAAGCCCGACTACCGGGGATTATCAGAGCAAAATGGCTGCTGCGCCCTCCCGCCGTCCTCA